GTAAATATATCTAAAACTTTTTGAAATTTGCAGATCTCACAGACAAGGTACATGCGTACGTGCTTTTGCTGACGCAAAGGACGTAAGTTGATTAGGTAGTGCTTAATAGTGGCCCAGGAAACAATTGATACACACTGCTGAGAGAACTTGTGGTTAATTACGTAAATATGTGGTCCAGGCCACCTCTGAATGTCGAGTGCAGCCTCAGTGAGTCAGGAGTTTATTCACACCTGTTCTCACAGCTGGCACAGTTTAGGTTTTGGTATGAAGGGATCGGCGGTTAAGTGGTACGTTGACATTTCTTTCCTGACCTTGAAAAAGTTTGACAAAACAACCGCTAGTTCTTTCTACTTTGGTGAAGGATTACTCCACAAAACAGCCACACAATATGAATCGTTGTACTCGCATATAAGAAATGTATTTTCCAGCAGTAAAACTCTGCTGCTAAAACTAACAGCAAAGTTTCTTTCGGTTGATACTCTGCACCCTGAGCTTGGCAACACAACTCCATCTGCTGTTTAGACAACAGAGTGACAACACATATCTGCTATTCCATCAGAACAAGGTACCCCATCTGTTTTGCCTGCCTCTCCTTGCCATGTAACCGTCAGTGCTCTACTGTATCCATAATTTCCTTTTGATTTCAGAGCCCCCTTCACGCTTTCATCACTCAAGAAGAAACAGAACCACAATCACATATATCCTGATGAATCAAGCTAAGCTTGACTTGCTGTCATCTTTCGCTCTCGCACATCTTAACTTTTCATTTCCTATACACTGGCACACGCATGCCCCTCCCATACAATGTCCTGTGCTATCCAAGGATCATTGTGCTGACCTTTTGTTTGGTTTTACCCTCTGACTGTGCATATGCATTTTCAGGATATCGATTATGACCCTGACTAATCTGCCAGTGCTTTTTTCTCCTTTTAATACTAAGTATACTACTTGCACTGCCTACAATGAACCTACCAAAGACAGCTCCCCTTATGATCATTGAGTCATGATCTATGGTATTATTACTGTTTGACTGTGAGCCATCCATCACCTGTCTAATGACATTAATCTTCCTGTCTGTAGCAGGCAGCCGACTCAGTGCCGGGGAGAACATTGGCTGAATCCTGTATTTGTTTAATTTCACACTCAGTAATAAAGCTGCTGCAGCCACTGAGACACCAGCTCCCTGCTACGAGAGCCTCTGCCTTAATGGATTGTTGCACCGTTGGTGGAAATACAAATTTACAAATGAAATGTTTGTGTGGACCCATGGGGTCCCATGTTGTGTACCGGATAATGCAATTACAGCGCAGCGTGGACACGCATTGCATGTCTGTGTGCTTCATAAGGTTAGGGCACTTGTGTTTCGCTGAAGTGCAGGTTTCTTTTTTTGCTGCTTGTGAGAATGAGATGAGAATTCGGCAGTGCTCAGCCTGTGTTTCTGCAGGATAGTCAGGATGAGAGCAGCCTGCAGGCTAGCAGGAAGTACAGGCCCGTCTTCACTGGGGCCTGATAGAGACATTTTTAAAACTGTGCAAAACCAAAATATATTAGCAACATATTTAGTTGTGGTAAGGCTGAAACCAAATAATTTAAAATGCATTTAATATGATTTGACTGGGGAAAAACCTGAAAGGATGTTTAGGATTATTCAACCAGTTTTCCATGATGTTACCATCATAGTCACTGAACACTTGTATGATGTCTTCTGTGGCTTTGTTTAGTCTGAAAAAATAACCTGGAGGGTGTCATTAGAGATTGATCTCTGAGAAACCTGAGCTGCCTGCTTTTAGGGAACACAGTGTCCGTTAAAGTCTGACGAAAGATCTCAAAATGATCCAGTTAATTTCCATGAATGTATCTGTACCCAGAGAGGTTTGCAATGAAACGTCTCAAACTATTCCATGTGTTCACATGAAATGTGGTACAGGTAGAGAAGTTTTTTTCTTTTCTGTATGTATTTGTGTGGGTTGTTGTGGCGCAGGGGTTAGAGAAGGTGTGCTGGGAAGCACAAGGTTGGTGGTTCAATTCCAGGCTGCCTCATGTTCCATGTCGAAGTGTCCCTGAGCAAGACACCTAACCCCTAATTGCTCCCTGGGCAAAAATGTGAGTCGCTTTGGTTAAAAGCGTCTGCTAAATGACATGTAATGTAATGTATTCAACCCTCGGGTTCCCGTGTGTTCCCACCGATGGAAATACTGCCACTATACCAATATAACTACTCTGGGTGAATATAACATCGCCAACTTAGACAAATATATTAGCATTAACTTCCCCTGTAGAAACCTTTTTTTTTAGCCCTAAGCTGCACTGTGTTAAGCTAATAATGTTTAGTACGTACCAAATTTTATTTTAATCAACCACACGCAACTTTACGAAAACAAAACAAACGCACTTTACAACCCTTTGATAAAGGTCAAAAGGAACATAGCGAGTCATAACTTTGATAACGTAATAATAATGATTAATATTAAACACTAGCTGGCGAGGTATTCCATTTTGACATTGGTCAGAATTCAAATTCACTGAACAAGCTGATTGCAAATAACGTTTCATTACAGTGTGCAGCCCTGGACTGTCGTCTTCGTTGCAATTATTGGAGGAGTTAGTGATTACTAAACTGTTGATTAGAGAGTCACAGCCTTGTCTTTCAAGTTGAGGCAGAAGCAGCACTGTGGTGATAATCGTTATGTTTACAAATCCCAACAATTCCACTGAAAGTGACATAAAGGCCAATATTAATCTCATTTCTTCAGCTTTAACGAATGTACATGCCTCATTATTCCAATCATGCCAGTCCATCAGAAATATTGAAATATCTCCATCTGCTGGGAAAGAAATTCTATCAAGAATAAGCAAAGGCTTAGATGCCCAATCTACTGTAAACTCAAATGGTTCACAGGGAATACAATTAGACCGTCCTTATTAATGTGTGGAGCTTCTTGCCTCTACTGTTCTTCTACATCAGCCTGTTTAAATAACTCACTCACTTGCCAGCACCAACATTGGCCTTATTCTCACAAGCTAACTTGGGACTGCATCAACAAATAACAGTCTTCACGAACCCCTCACGATCACGAGACGAGAGTCTTTAAAGGTCACCGAGAGTTGTGATTCTAAAAATACCTCAATTTGCCAAAGGAGGGGACAGCTGTGAATGTTACAAAAGAGAATCAAGAAGTACAACCAACTATTTACTGCAGGCTATTTGTCCCGACTTGCATTGTGAAGTCTCACTAAACAGTTTCCCCTCCCAGCCTCAAAGTTAAGTCCTCAGGGCCACACTAAACCTAAGCACCAACACATCACAGCTGATTCATTCACACTGACCTATAGTCTGGAAACCATTAGCCGGTTACAAGCTGAAAATGAGCATATTAAAGCTCCTCGCTGCTGGCACAACAGTCCAGACGAAGGCGCCAAGGCCTGCGAGGGGGTATCAGGTAGAATTAAGCCACCGATAGGAATCTGTGTGAATCTCTTTTAACTAACTAGATGACATATGCTTTATTTGTAACAACAGCCCCAGGAGGTGGTTGCAGTAGGTGGATAACACTTTCATGGAAGAAATGTGTCTAGCGGAGGTAATAGTCACATCAGGGCCATTTGCTGTTGGGTGCAAATGTGTCCTGATTGAGTATGCAAATTATAGCCGTATTAGTCACATGCTCATAATAGATGTACTCTTCATTCGCTGCACACACACCGCGACTACTTTGTCGATGCTGAGTGGCAGAATCAGAGTCTAAGCCACCTCTACCTCATTGAAGTGATTCTGTGCTGCTTGACGAACGTCCTGCCTTCATGACTAAGAATCAGCAAGATCAATAACCGTCATTGATCCTGTGGGTCTGTTTCATAAGGCACACCTTATTGTTGTATCATTTTTATGGACAGTTGAAGCCGCTGAGGGCTGTTTTTCATTAGCATTAGGAAAGCCTGTTTTGCATGGTAGTTCTTACTCCTTGCAATCCATCAGAATAATTTTCTGTTTTGCCCAGAACCTTGGCTGAAGGCCGGCATCACCCCTCTTTAACTACCCAGAGTACACAGGGATTTGAACTTCTTAACCCTGGCTGTCTCGTTCATCTTAATAGTTCCTCTTGGAGTTCGAAATAGAAGCAAAGCAGAATGTTAATGCTGATGCTGAGTGTTTTAGAGCTGGATTAAAGTTGGGGAGCTCAACGTAAAGTTTCATTCTCGCAACGTTTTTGCTTTTTGTGACTGAACACAGTATGTTGAGGAATAAAAGAATTAGAGCCAGATGTGAGACCACAGAAGAGGAAAGCAGCTGCTACGCAATGAGAAAAAAACAGTTGTTCTCATGAACCATGTCCCAGTCCCCCGTTGACCCAAATCGGTGTATATTGTTTTAACTTTTGCTTGTACATTTTAATCTTATATCACTCTTATATTGCACCAATGCACCAAGTCTAATTCCTGTATGTGTAACATATGTGGCAATAAATGGCTTCTGATTCTGATCAGCTCAGCAAAAAAAAAACATGTACTAAATATAATATAAATATAATACATTTATTTAAAAAGAATAAAAACGAATACAGTACTACTGAAGTCAGAGCAGTCTCTGCTATTGTCCAAAAAAAAGCCAGGATTATAAATAATGACCACCTTTCTTTAGTATAATGATGCGCATGATGTATTGTGCATGTATGTGTACACAGGCTTTCTTTTGTCAACAGAAATACAATTTTTCCTAAAAGTACTGCAAAGGTTTGACAGTAAAGAGCCATGTTTCCAAATAATAATATATTATTCTTATAAATTATTGTGTTGCTAAATTGCTGGAGAGATCAATAAACCCCACTAACAGGAGGTCAGAAACCCCAAAATAAAACACGCTAATATATCGTTATATATTAGTTAGCTGTAGAAATAAAGGTCTGTCTCCCGTCACCATTGATTAGGTACTATAGTACCAAGGAGCCCCAAGCTGAAGGTAAATCCCCTGCTGGCGAGTGAAGACAAGAGGACACACTCACCTTTTGGTCGTGACTGTAGGCCAAGGCCCAATCCTCTTCAGTGGGGTGGAACAGAAGGCTGAGGACGTAGAACGTAAGGCGGTACTTCTGGTAACTGGCGCCCTCGTCAGAGCTGACGAGCACGCTGCTCTCAAACTCTGGATCAGTCAACACCATGATCTGAGAAGAGACAGCATGCAGGTAGGTTATGAGTTCATCAACATGGAGGGGAAGTGAGTTTCAGTAAAGAGGTGGAAAGAGAGACAATAAGGAGATTAGAGGCAGCAGAAAAAGTCCTATCAGGCTTATTCTTTGCTAACAACCATCAACATATTATATCGACAGACGTATCCAACTTCAAATGTCGCTTCTCCTCATCCCTTTTCCAAAATGACATCAAGGCAATTCAGATCAACAGCAATTGATATAGTGTGTGTTCCTAGAAGTGACCATAAAGAACAGTAAACAGCCCTTATATGAAAGAAAGGTGATGGAAAAGAACCAGGATTTAGCCGTGCATGAATTACTAGACTCACAGTGTGTTACTTTCTTCATCCGCAGGTTCGTTAGTGCGTCATTTCTTACAAATTCTCCTTCCAATAAAATTATGATTTTAAATTTAACAGCACCACAGTTGTAGGATCCCTAATTTCATGGTTGGAATATTTCTGCCCGAGCTATCACAGTCATTACAGAATTCAATAAGAAAAGGAATTCCACGATGCATATTTCCTTCAGCTAATGACATTTGGAGTCTTAGTGGAAGCAGATGAAATGGTGACAGCGTCTCCTCCTCCACTAAAGAGAGATCAGACACAGGCCATGTTCAATCACTCTTCTCATACATGCTCTTTGCTATTCCTTTATACACTCCTGATTCCTGGACTTATTAGAATTTATAATCTATCCAAAGTACGTGGGTTGCCTGTAGTGTGCAAGACTAACTGACCACTCGCCTCTGTTTGTTGGAAAATGCACTCAAAATAGAAAAATATATAATGATTTTAATCATTGCACTAAGAGGCGTTGAACAAAGAGATGCTTATATACAGGTCCAGCAGAAACAAAGCAGCGTAAGTATAGTTTAGTCATACTAATGTTGGGGTTTCTTGGTCTTGGCAAAGCTATCTTTCAGCTAACTCTACATACTAGGTTTATCATTCTTTCTAAAAACATGCAAACACGGTTAAGGACACAACTGTAGAGGAACCACTGACTTGGGTAAGATTCCTCTGTGTGTTTGTCACAAGCCCTTCACTTAACACTGAATTATTTCTTCCATTATAAATTTAAAATATGGACTGCTGCGGCTTTAAATGTTTTTCTCCATAAGGGTTTTCCATGGTCGGGTTTTCTTTCATCAGATCAATTTGAATTGCAAAACAGCAGCATATTTGTCACTGACAGAAACCCTAGCCCCCTCTACCCAGAGCATTAACTATGCTCCCTCCCTGGTGGTGATTTAGATCGATTGTTTTTCGTTAAGCACCGATAAACAGGCAACACATCCTTAACTTGTATTTCTCAATGCATCGTCTTGCCTTTCTTTACCTGTCACTGTGCAATGCCAACCCCCCATTTAAGCAGGAACCATTCTATAAAATTATAGTAAGCATCAGGCTGTATTGTGAATGAGATATTACATTTTGCCAGGTCTTATTTTAAGTAAAATGTCACATTCCTTACAATGCAGGTGAATTTATCTGACGCTTTTATCATTGCATTTTTAACCCATGGCTTTACATTTCTGCCCGGAGAGCGATTAGCGGTTAAGTGTCTTATTCATGGACACCTCAACATGGGACACGGAGCAGCCGGGGTTCAAACCACCAACCTTGTGGTTCCCAGAGCTCCCGCTCTACTCCATGCGCCACCATCACCCCTAGATTAGATAGAAGTCAAAGGGGTGAATACTGGTCAATCGTGAGTTACTTTCAAAATGACAGTTACCTGATTGCGTTCGTAGGAGGTAATTAAGATTTCCCTGAAAGAAAGCACTGAGTGTAGGAGAATGAGCGGGGGAGTAAGAAGGGAAACAACACACGGCCGTTTTATCAGTCTGAGGTTCTGCTCAGTCTAAGCTGGAGCACAGAGACAGAAGCCGGTAGTTTTTGGATCCTGAGGTCCGGGGAGGCGTGGATGTGTGGATCGGAGACGGAAGGATAAAGACACCGAGCAGTACATGAATCATGTCATGCCAGATCAATTGAGCTTGAGTCTGTCTTTGTCAGGAGGTTTTAACAGAGTGGTCGCTGCAATATGCTCATTACCCATGGATCAAGAATGAATCACCCACACCACGCTATCACGCTTTCACTTTTTTGCTTCTTCGATGTGGATCCACGTGAGCCCATCTACCGGCCGCTCCGTCAGGCTGTTCAAGGACTCAGTGCACGCCGAGCGCGAGGAAGAAACGTCGACATAAAGCAAAGGAGATGAGCCGTCATTTTTTAAGGGCTACCGCTAAATGTCATTACTATCATTCAAATCTATAATGTAACATTATAAAGGTCACAGTTTCCTTCCACTTGATTTCTCGGACAGTGTAAGAGACGAAATTCCTCGTATGTTTCCAGAATTATCGCAGTGAACATATAGTGATTTCTCTATTGTGGTGGAAAGGATTATCTAAAAAAAAGCAGACAATTATCTCTCACACTGATTAATTAGGCACAGAAACTGCTTTTTATATGTGGCAAACCAAGGAGACAAAAAAGGAATGTAGCCATCAGACAAGACACTTTCATCCATCGACGAGATGGCAAAACTAAAATATCAGAGATCTGGTGCAGAGGAGGTCGGCTCAGGCAGAGTCAGAAGTCAACCATTCAAGTCAAATATTCTCCTGAGATCATTACATTTTCTTGTGTTTTGATCACTTACTCAGTAACGTCTACACACCAAGTGTGGCTTTTAAAAATACAGTTTGGTTTAAAAAAATCTTTATTTAATTTAATAAGAACTATAATGTTGGTTATGTTGTTATTCATGATATCTTCATTGTTTTTGTACTTGGTGTGTGAATCAAATGTATTCATTAAATCTGAATAACAAAAAGCTGATACCTCATATGAACACAAGAAAGAACCTTGGGGACTTCCCTTGTCATGCATTTAAATATTCTCCACACAAGGTTAGCAGAACAAGTGTGTGATCAGGAGGAATAAGCGTCATGGCAGCCTGTGTGCAGTAGGACCCTTGAAGCGGATCTGATGGTCCTTTACTGGGTCCGGACTACCGGGCTGTTCAGGCAGACAAAGTGAAGGGAAGGGCTTTTTCAGTTATTTCTTTCCCTTTTTATATCTCTTTCCTAGTTTTCAAACTACCCGAAGCTCTTGAAAGACCACCCTGCTCTCCACTGAGCCACAGTCGCCCTGTCCAATTGAAGTAAAAGATAGATCAATCAAGGTCGATTAGAGGGAAAACTGACATAACAAACAGATTATTATTGTCATGTATTTGATATCCATTATTAGAAGAAGTAGTTTTTTGTTTACGTGTTTGAGGCAACGTAATTTAACTATGACAATTGTGGCTAATTGTGGCAGTTCGAGCAGTAATAATACATTTACAAGGTGACACACACCTATAAAATAACTTGCATGCTGTATCTTCCAATGAACTGTTGTAGTTTAAGTGACTGTAGTTCAATAAGATGACTTGAATCTCACGAAAAAACATTGCAGGCCAAATTACATTGGACCAATAGCACTGATGTGCTTGCTCAAAAGAATCCATGTAGCTAAAAGCTACAGCACTGGTCACTATTAGGCTCAGTCCCAGAGTGTACCGAGTTAAACAAGGGTCCATTTTATCATTTTTTAATTGAACACTCACTTTCGATAAGTTTCCTTTTCTCCCTTAAGCTGCTAATCTTTTTTTCTCAGCAAAAGTAAGAGCGGATCATTTTGAACAACTAGAAAGGGTACGCTAGATTATAAATGAGGATCAAAAACCCAGAAAAACTGCTCTGAAATTAAAGAACCTTCAAAAAGATACGCCACAAAAATTAACATTATCAATGTAAACAACAAATACGTCTACTGTTTATTCTCACAGCTGTTATGATCACTGGAGGAAGATTCAAGCTCTTATTAGAATAGAGTCCTAACAGATACTTCTTTTTTGTCTCGGTATTTCATGAATTGATTACTTTCAGTATGTAAAAAAATAAATTCAACAAAAATAGTGGACTTTAAAACAAGCGGCTCATACTTTTTCTGTGTATTGTAGGAAACACTAAAGAATATTGTTACCACCTTTTCATGACTGCTACTGTACATTATGTTGAAAAGAAACCTAACGATGTGAAAACAAACGTCTGCCGATGCAGACTAGACTAGACTGCTGTAACTGAGCCGCTTGCAGCACTGTGACCTCATCGGCCTTCATTCCACTCGTCCATCACATTGTTGCCTGGAGCACCAGACCAGCAGAGCTCCAGACAGTAGGGCGCATCGGACTTACTGAAACGGAGGTGTGAATCACAGCTCAGGGGTTCAGAGCCCACACTCTCACAGAAGGTGAGGAAGGTTAAAGGTTCATAAATAAGAAACGAAACATACAATTTGGGCAGACGGTAGAAAATGCCGTGCAAACCACACAGTGATCAGTTAACCAAATTCTTAGAATGTTAGAAAAATAAGTACATGAAGTGTAACTGACAGAACTCTCGGGCAGACTAAAGACTTTGGCAGATGGCAATGCTCATTAGTTTTTTTATTCTGGCTAAAATTCCATTCTTTTGGCTTTTTCTAGAAATATCCATTATGCAGGAAGGAAACAATGCAAGAAATAGATACGTCCATGAGTCAACTGCACCATACGTTTGAAAACAGGTAGAGATACACAGAAAATGATTTACAACACAAAACTCAGGGATTAAAATTCTCTGACCTGTACCTTTACACACAACTGTATCATTACTTATCTTTTGGACATCATATTCTTTAAAATTGCTGATACCTTGGTGTTATCTCAATAAGGATTCATTATATTGACTTGTTTTACTAATTGATTAGCTATTAGACTCATTATGGGTTTTTTGGTAAAAGGGAAAATAAATCCATAGAATTAGAGCAATGGAATCAGCGTCTGCAGGCTTGTTTAACCTATGAGTCCAAGAACGTGGCCCAATATAGAACAAGCAAAATGAACAAACAACCGCAACAACAGTACGTCTGCTGCAGAACATAAGTACTGAATAGATGTAGTTGTAAAGTATATTAGCTTGGATGCATCACAATGTTACATGATGTTACATTTAAACTCAGCTGGTTTAAATCCTGCTTATCGGATCGATCCCAGTTTGTGCTTGTAAACGGTGAATCCTCAAAGACCACCAATGTTGGTCACGGAGTCCCACAAGGTTCTGTACTCGGACCGATATTATTTACCCTCTATATGCTTCCTTTGGGCGATCTTATGAGGAAACACCGCATAAACTTCCATTGTTATGCAGATGATACTCAACTGTATCTGTCGATCAAGCCAGAAGAGACGGACCAGCTAGTTAGACTTCAAGAATGTCTTGGAGACATCAAAACTTGGATGACCGGCAACTTCCTGATGCTAAACTCTGAAAAAACAGAAGTTATCTTGATAGGCCCAGAGCGCCTTCGAAGCCAGCTGTCACATGATACAGTTTTTATGGATGGAATTGCTCTGGTACCCAGCATTACCGTCATGAATCTGGGAGTTCTCTTCGACCAGGATTTGACCTTCAACTGTCATATAAAGAAGACTTCAAGGACTGCCTATTTTCATCTACGTAATATATCAAAAATCAGGAACTTCCTGTCTCAAAGTGATGCAGAAATATTAGTTCATGCGTTTGTCACTTGTCACCAGACTGGACTACTGTAATTCTTTGTTATCAGGCTGCTCTTGTAAATCTCTTAAGCCTCTCCAGTTGATTCAGAATGCTGCAGCACGTGTATTAACAAGAACTAAGAAAAGGGATCATATCACTCCTGTATTAACTTCTCTGCACTGGCTCCCTGTTAAATCAAGAATAGATTTTACGGTACTTCTCCTCACCTACAAGGCGCTTGCTGGTGAGGCACCGTCGTATCTTAAAGAGCTTGTAACACCTTATTGCCCTAAAAGGCAGCTGCGCTCCATAGATGCTAGGTTACTTGTTGTTCCTATGGTTTTCAAAAATAGGCTGGGGGCCGGAGCCTTCAGTTATCGAGCTCCTCTTTTGTGGAACCAGCAGGAACCCTGTTTTATTAATGCACATGACTAATTCAGCTTTTCCGGGAGTTTTTTTGTGCTTTCTCCCCTAGCAGGTCTCCGTAGATCGTAGTTCCTTCGGGACCTTGGTCCTGACACCTACCGTGGCCCTGCTGACGCCTGCTGCTGCCATCATCATTATTATTTTAGATATTAATCATATTACTGTACTCGTAAACCAACATTACCCTCTCCTAAAGTCTCTTTGCTCTCCCTGGTGGTTCTATCTGATGGTGGTTGCCCCTGCAGTGGTCCAGCTGTGCGCCTGGCTTACTACTCATAATTACTTGAATCATTTCTGTAATAGGAATTGCATGTATTATACATTGTTCATTCTGTACACATGGCATCCATTGTAGTCAGTCCATCCCGGGAGTGGGATCCCTCCTCTGACGTTCTCCCTAAGGTTTCTTCCCTTTTTTCCCTCTTGGAAGGGTTTTTTCATTTTTTGGGGAGTTTTTCCTGTGCCGATGGTGGGTTTCGGGACAGAGGATGTTGTATGAGTACAGACTGTAAAGCCCTCTGAGGCAAATTTGTAATTTGCGATTTTGGGCTACACAAAATAAAATGAATTGAATTGAATACAATATAACGTTTTCCCTTCTTATTAACATATTAGAAAGTGTATAAATAGGAGAAACATTAGCAACATAGTTTAATAAAAGCCTGGTTCTCTTTTGGAGGGGAATTGTTTGGGAATTCATAAGATATAAGCATTCTAAACAAGAAAAACAAAGTATATACTCCATATCAATAAACAAGAGAAGGCGCACAAGCTCAGGAAGATCAACCAACTTCTCACCTTTCTCTTGTTAGTTGGACAGACGTACAGGTAACTCAGGACAGTCTTGGATCCGACTTTGTCGTTCATCCTCTGGTACGTGGAGCCATAGTCAGTAGATCTGAATGGAGGAAAAAAAACAGACTAAAGATCTACAGTAGACGTCAAAGGATACTGATTTTGGAGGTGTGAAAAATACCGTGGGGTAAATAATACGCAGATTCAGGGTGATATAGTACTGCTTATACACCGTATGATTACTCTGTGTAAGTGTAAAACCATCAGCAATAGAACAAACGAAGGTTAACCAATCATCTATATCTGCCAACCAAAAGGAACCATTCCAAAATCAGTGGGGAACCAGCACTCTAAATAATTAATCCCCCGATGACTACTATGAAATAAAATATGTCAAGTGCAGAACCATGTGGATGTTCCTGAACTCATGGGCTTAATAATTGAACAGTGGGAATGAGTCTGTTAGCCAGCTGAGTCCCTGGAAGCTCTGCATGAATCCATCATCACTGGTAACTACCCAATCTGCTTTCAAGTAGAATATTACAGCATTTACAGGGCTGATTGCTTTTTCCTTTTTTCTGCGAAAGCTGCATTTGTGTGCCTAGAAATTTCAAATGTTACTCTCAGTGGGGGCCTAAGCACCCACCCACAACTTGTGGCACAACTCCCATTTGGATTTGCAGTCTACTTCACCGTGTTATGAGGAAAGAGAAGCGGATACCTATTTCATCTTTGATTCCTTTTTTAATCAGATCCTACAGCTTGAGCTCTTTCAGCGGGGAACGTGGCTTCAGTGCAATTGCACAGAACTTTCTCTCATTTAAATTCCTTCCAGAATGCCTCTGAGAGACACAGTCGTTGCTATGATTGCAAAGCACAATAATGAGTCACACGGACGGCACCATTTCCCACAAGAGCGGGGGGATGTGCTGCTCTGAGAATATTTTGGAATTTGGAGCAGGGGCACTGAACTGTTGATGCCTCCTGAGAGGAGACTGCAGATAAAGCACAGACACAAATGGTCTTCTTGGCATGACATGGTTTAGCACAAGGCAGGTAATGCATGTGATTAGATCTGACCCTCCACACAAACACTCATATCCTGTACACACAACCATAAGCCATCTTCACTGTTGTTCCTAAAATGGTGGTAGGACACATGACCGACCACAGACCACCTGTGACCGCTGTGGCCGGGCAGATGCAGGGTGGTCTGAGCCCTGCCACCAGTTGTCACAGAAAGAATAAATACACAGAAATGGTGTCAGAAAATGGCTGATGTGTTCAGAAAAGTGTTCTCTGTCGTCAAGTGGCTGCGGTTTATGATTTCTTTGAAGAAATGTTGCATCCAGAGGAAGCCTGGTTTGGTCCGTATGGCGAGGTTATGGTATGTGAGTGTGTACGCTATCGACAACTTACATGGGTTTGTGATGTTGATGGTAATTGGAAATGACAGAAACACAGCGATCGAAGCCGAATGTGTGTGTTGTCGGGACGTTGGTCTGCCTCCATCACCTCATGTTACAGCATGGTAACAGATAGACCCTTGTCGCAAGGATCTGTCAAGTCCCAGAGGCTGAAAACACCCGTCTTCTTGTAGGGTCTGAGTACTCAGCAGATATGTATCGAGTTCATCAGCTTCACACCCCAATACATTTCATTCATAAAGCACTTTTAATAGTACTCAGACTACAGACAGATTTGTCCCACTGCAATACGTAAATAAATGATGGTCACGCCAGATACTTAAAGATACAACTGGCTATTTACTGGGACCAGCCCGAAGGCCTCCTCTGTGAAAATAATACTGTTCAGTCCTTCTGTGTGTTCCTCGTGCTTCAAGGCCTCAACAAAGGCATGGAGATCTTTACACATATTAGATTAGAAATTGACTATATGATTGAGATAAGAAAGATAATTTTTCCATGTCATATCTTTCTTTTGAAGGGATGAGTCGTTGAGCTTGACAATGTTTTTTAAAAATGGCTTCAATTAAATACATAATGTGCTTAATAAAACTGGAGGAACTGTTTCTAATCCTGCTAATATTTGTAGTATCTTTTACTACTACTAGTACCACCAATACTATAATTATAACACATAACATAACACATACATACACATAGTGCCACAAGGTCGCATTAGATGAAATTATGAGAGAAAATACTCCAGCTCAGACTCCAGCGGAGCCTCCCGTGGACACTTCCAGATCCAGCTCAGCTTCTTCCAGCCAGCAGCAGAGCTCCTCCTCTCTGCTCTAGCAGAAACCAACACTGACACCCCGATGCTGGAGGTCAAGGTCCTATTTCTGGCCCCTTCGGACTAAGAACTGAGCAAGCCAGAAGGTAAGACCTTGCTAGTTGTATTCTAAAAATGGATTCTACTATATTTTTTACTATATTATCCAAGATACAGACGTCATTTTATTGACTGAAGGGGAAGATATTTTCATATCTGTATTGCAATTGGTATACAATACTGTCATTATGGGAATTATTATTCCACAGCTGATTACAACAATAACACGGAGGACCTGTAGCGGCAATAAATGAATCAATGCCCGTTACAACAATGAATTCTGTACAATATTGTGTGAAGGAAAAAAAGTTTTCTCTCTGTAAATCTGACCTTGGATGGCTGCTTAACAACAAACGCAAGCGCACACAAACCAGAAAAGAGACACATTAGGAACAGAAAACACCAAACCATTGTTCACCAAGTGTCTGAAGATAGAAGCATCATCAGGTGGTTATCTGAGTTGAACCGAAGCAGCGACAACTCAATTGTCTGAGTTGTGTCTGAGCCGCATAGCAACACAGCCAACATGTTCAACCACCTGGAGAATCACCACAAACCACAGTATGATGAATCCAATGTGGCCAAAGCAAACGTGACCTCACTGAATCTCCGTCCAATGACGTCAAGCCAGCGACAGCGACCCTGCAGCGCGACAGCGTATCCGTCCACCTCCCAAAGACACGCTAAAATAACAGTTAAAAGTCAAGTTCCCTAACTGTTTTCCTTTGGGTGCATTCTATGATGGCAAATTTGTTTTCAGTTAGCCCTTCATCTTGGGTAAAGAATGTATTTATATATTGCTTCAGAATAAAGAGTAAGCCATTTTGATGTGAATACCTGTACACTAGCTGGAGTGCAACACAACATGCAAGTGGACGCAGTGTTCTTTTTCATTTAAACGTGAATGTGCAACCAAAAGATGCTGTCCCTATAATGAATAAATAGTTAAATGGATCATTTAATAAAATAAAATAAAATGGATCAGAATAACGTTGCCGCGCAACCTTAGTGCTTTGTCTTCTTGTCAGTTAGTGTTTTTGGGTTGTCATTGTAATCTTGGTCCACGTTTGCCCCTAAGTATTCTACTTTAGTAGTATACTTGTGTTCTTTAGCTTTGAATGGGCATCTGCGTTTGACTCTTCCTGTCTTCTGCTTTGACATCTGTGACAGATGGATCACATGTCAAAATCAGACTGTCACGGATGCGGGGAAGGCAGGACTCAAACGCAGACTTTACGAAACAAGAAAGGACTTTAATAGTCCAAAACTCCCAAAAGGGCAAAAATACAGGCAGGAACCAAGAACCATCCAGGACAATCGACAATGACGTGACGAGTGACAAGAGACCCACACGGCTTGAATACAATAGGGAGGTGCGGGTGATTGGACACAGGTGGAAACAATCACAGGGTATGACAGGACAAGGCAGGAAGTGAAGTTACCCAGGGAGACAAGAAGCAGAAACTACAAAATAAGAAAGGAAATAAAACCACACCGTGACACAGACATCATTTTTATGTTCTTTTTCATGGCTTTTTAAAGAAAAAATCATTTTTATTTGTAAATCCCACACTCTTACATTAATATGTGGAGTTATTCTGCTGTGTTTGCTATGAGATTAAATGGAATGTTACAGTAATATTTCCCCCCCAAAAAATTCTTTGACAAAGTATAGCAGTTTGGGATATTTTTTTAGATTCCTGAGTGTTGTTCTCCTTTTTGTGTGTATACAATGGAGAAAATAAAGCATTCATTTTGCAGGAATGTCTCAAAAGACACCAATTTTGTAATGCTTTGGCTGTTTGATGATCACATATGGTGTCATTTGATGATATCACGTATGTTTTGTGTGGTGGTTAGCAAGTTTGAATGGTTGTTTGTCTGTGTGTTTGCCTCCGAAGGAACGTTGTGCATACCGATCACCAGAAGTGACCTTTGGCCTCACCATATCCGAAGCCATCAATATGTGGGCATTGTGTCTTGGCATTCCTATTTTGGGCCGGGACATCTTCAATGGAAAATCAATATATAACGTAATGAAAGCGTTGCGCTGTCTGCTCGGTTCACCACAAGACCCCTGCTGAATGCTGGAAAAAAACACTGACCAGTATTTCAAGAGGCAGCGGAACGATAACCAGCTGCAAATCTCAAAGCGGAGTTTCAACCATGTTGAAGGTTCAATGAGGTTCATGAGGTTGAATATGAAGACAGAAGGGACATTTTTTAATCATCTTCAACTGTTGCTCAATCCTGATGCTGAAATGAGAGTCAAACCTCATGATGCCTTGGAACATTCGGTTGTCACCTGGTAGACTATGCTGACAAAGGCTCTTATACACAAGCTGCCTTTCAGGTAATGGTCGTCTGCCTGCGTGGGATGAAGGTCATGAATCTTTCCACAATTTTCAAAGTGACATGATTCAACTGACTCAAGAGACAAAAGTGGGGACAGGCAGGGCTTTTCTGGTCAAAGCAGCTATAGCTGGCATTACTTGTGTATTCATTAACACATATGGTAGCATTACTACAAAGATGAGTGCATAGTGATGGGGGGAGAGAGACTGTAATTGTACTGTCAATGTCTCTTTAGACAGGACAGGGAAGGAGGAACACCATCAGTCATCTGCCACTCTGTCCCAGGGTGTTTCCGTGGCAATAACTCTGAGGCGTGAACAAACCAAAGGATTCACCCTCCCTGTGTGAGGCTAAGACAACAAAGAGGATGAGTTGCGCAGGAAATTAGTCTTTTACTTGGTTATTCAACCAATGGGTTTCTAAATGCTTTAATCCAAAACACTAAGTCGG